TACAAGGTCTCCTCCCGAAAATCACTTAAACGCGCAGAACTCATTACTAAATTAAGATATCCATATAAAATTTGGTATAAGTATTGCCCATATGCATAGAAATATTACTGAGAAAGTTTTTTCCGATCGGTTCATAATTGGACATAGCTCCCATACAAGGTCTCCTCCCGAAAATCACTTAAACGCGCAGAACCCATTACTAAATCAAGATATCCATATAAAATTTGGTATAAGTATTGCCCATATACATAGAAATATTACTGGGAAAGTTTTTTCCGATCGGTTCATAATTGGTCATAGCTCCCATACAAGGTCCCCTGCCGAAAATCACTTAAACGCGCTAACTCATTACTAAATTAAGATATCCATATAAAATTTGGTACAAGTATTGCTCATATGCACAGAAATATTACTATGAACGTTTTTTTTTTGGATCGATCGATAATTTTTCATAGCTCCCATACAAGGTCCCTCCCGAAAATCACTTAAACGCGCAGAACTCATTACTAAATTAAGATATCCATATAAAATTTGGTACAAGTATTGCTTATATGCACAGAAATATTATTGAGAAATTTTTTTCCGATCGGTTCATAACTGGTCATAGCTCCCATACAAGGCCCCCTCCCGAAAATCACTTAAAGGCACATAACTCATTACTAAATTAAGATATCCATATAAAGTTTGGCAGAAGTATTGCTCATATACAGAGAAATATTACTGTGAAATTGTTTTCCTATCAGTCCATAATTTATCATAGCTGCTATACAGGGTCCCCTTCAGAAAAACACTTAAAGTAGAAAAGTATTAATATAAAAGTAGCTGGCGAAGGGTATTTAAGATTCGACTCAGCCGAATATAGCACTCTAACTTGTTTAAGTAAATTTTGACTATTTATTTATATTTACTTTGTAGGGGAGGTGCCTCTCTTACTATTCCTAGTCCGCTAATTTTTTCTCCAAATGAATATTTGAATTATCTAGCTGTGATAGTTTTCCAGCTTTGTGTATTTTCATTATCTAGTTTATATGGGAGGTGTCACGCCCAGTATTGCTCCTACGGCCTTGTTTGTCCTAAATATTTATATTGATACTTAAGTACTAGTACACAATTTGGTATCTCTAGATTTTATAGTATACGAATTTAAGTATTTAATTCATATGGGAGGTGCCACGCCCACTATTAAAAGTTCGAAATTTTTTCCAAAATGTGCATATGGTTTTCAAAATTGTCCGTGTAAAATTTGTGGATTCTATACGGTTAATGTTCCTCATATATACAAAATTTGATACATATTTTGTGTGTGGGCGTGGCTTAGGGCATTAAAAATTTCAAAACCAAAAGTGGCATTCAGTTCATTACAGACTCTGCTAAAATTTCAAGAAAATCGGTCCATCGGTTATTAGTCTATAGACTTCAACCCGGCTTACCCGAGTTTTGGTAAAAAATTATCTAGTGCACACAGACGGAACCGGGAGGATATATAATGAGGTAAACTTGTGTAGGGGAGTATAGTGTAGGACCCCCTAGGAGTTATGATATATAATCTATAATGAAGTTATAAGCTCATAATGTGTGGACCACAAAAAGCTTTGAGTTTCAATATATGTTCGTGTTATTAATAACTATCCATTAAATATAGATCATTTCAATCTAAACAATTTTCAACTAATATAAATTGTTTCTAATCATGTAAGGCAAAAGAAAAACACTTTGAAAAACTAAACAAAGAAACTACAAAAAAATGTGTTCAAAACTAAACCAATTCGTGTAATCTATTATTTGAACTTAAAAAAAGACAAACAAAAAAATCTAAATATAAAAAAGATATTTCATTTTCAAGATGAGTTGAATAGACATTTTATTTGTAAACCGTGTTTTGTTTGTACTTTATGATGTACTCACAACACTGACTGACTGGCTGCCTTAATTGTTATCAGCACAATTTTGTTTGATCACCAGTACAAACGTCTGTCCTTCCTTCCGTCCATTTGAGCAGACAACTAGCAGTTCAAATGATGAAAACTACAAAAAATCACTTTATTTATTTAGTAACTTAACGGGCGAAATTCTAAATACCATTTCATACTCTCATACTACATTCAACACTCTTAATCTTGAAATGTAAACTCATTCCCTACAACCATACATATCTATATATACGAATACGTTTTTGTTTTTGGTATTTCTTACTTTAATGCGACATTCATATGAAAATGTTAAATAAAAAAATTTTAAAATGAACCAAAATACTTAAAAAAAACTAAAAAGAAAATATTTAAGTAAAATATTTGCTTAAATTGTATTCAGTTGCAATCAAGAAAGCACATGTGAGTTTTTGAATGAATCTAATAATAAATGGGGGAATGAAAGGTAAAAAAAAAATTCGAAAAATTATTTATTTACACCATTTACAATGTAAATTGTAAGATTACATATCGACAGCACACGTATGCATTTAAGTGTTTTAATATAACGACAGACAATGCAAATAATGAAAGTAGACTTTGTTTGTATGCGATCATAATCTGTATTCATCACTATGTACAATATATTTTTTCAAATATGATTAAGGAAATCCTTGTTTAATAAAGACAATTTGTTAAAAAATACAATGTAAACTATATGATATGTACCTGACAACCACTATCTAATCTATCTATCTATCTATCTATCTATCTATCTATCTATCTATCTATCTATCTATCTATCTATCTATCTATCTATCTATCTATCTATCTATCTATCTATCTATCTATCTATCTATCTATCTATCTATCTATCTATCTATCTATCTATCTATCTATCTATCTATCTATCTACCTATCTATCTATCTATCTATCTATCTATCTATCTATCTATCTATCTATCTATCTATCTATCTATCTATCTATCTATCTATCTATCTATCTATCTATCTATCTATCTATCTATCTATCTATCTATCTATCTATCTATCTATCTATCTATCTATCTATCTATCTATCTATCTATCTATCTATCTATCTATCTATCTATCTATCTATCTATCTATCTATCTATCTATCTATCTATCTATCTATCTATCTATCTATCTATCTATCTATCTATCTATCTATCTATCTATCTATCTATCTATCTATCTATCTATCTATCTATCTATCTATCTATCTATCTATCTATCTATCTATCTATCTATCTATCTATCTATCTATCTATCTATCTATCTATCTATCTATCTATCTATCTATCTATCTATCTATCTATCTATCTATCTATCTATCTATCTATCTATCTATCTATCTATCTATCTATCTATCTATCTATCTATCTATCTATCTATCTAGCTATCTATCTATCTATCTATCTATCTATCTATCTATCTATCTCTATCTATCTATCTATCTATCTATCTATCTATCTATCTATCTATCTATCTATCTATCTATCTATCTATCTATCTAGCTATCTATCTATCTATCTATCTATCTATCTATCTATCTATCTATCTATCTATCTATCTATCTATCTATCTATCTATCTATCTATCTATCTATCTATCTATCTATCTATCTATCTATCTATCTATCTATCTATCTATCTATCTATCTATCTATCTATCTATCTATCTATCTTATCTATCTATCTATCTATCTATCTATCTATCTATCTATCTATCTATCTATCTATCTATCTATCTATCTATCTATCTATCTATCTATCTATCTATCTATCTATCTATCTATCTATCTATCTATCTATCTATCTATCTATCTATCTATCTATCTATCTATCTATCTATCTATCTATCTATCTATCTATCTATCTATCTATCTATCTATCTATCTATCTATCTATCTATCTATCTATCTATCTATCTATCTATCTATCTATCTATCTATCTATCTATCTATCTATCTATCTATCTATCTATCTATCTATCTATCTATCTATCTATCTATCTATCTATCTATCTATCTATCTATCTATCTATCTATCTATCTATCTATCTATCTATCTATCTATCTATCTATCTATCTATCTATCTATCTATCTATCTATCTATCTATCTATCTATCGATCTATCTATCTATCTATCTATCTATTATATTACATTTACAGATCTTGGAGCCACTTCGGTATCAATATTAATATTTAAGACAAATATGGACGGACTAGAAGTAGGGGACATGGTACCCTCCGATATAAATTATATACAATAATTCGTGTATCGGGGAAATAATTTGAGCTACAATACTCAATTATTGTACAAACAACTTTGAAAAATTACCGTACTAACAATGAAAGGAAATAGGTTAATTATCAAGAGCGGAAATAGGTTAATTATCAAGAGCGGACATGGCATCGCACATAATTATAAGCTGAAATCAATTGGGTTCATTGTTGGGCCAAAAATATTATGTGTACCAAATTTATCTTCAAAATTGTGATTTGTATTAAGTTCTAAAAGATGAAAGAAGGACCGACGGACGAAAGGATTTAAATGGCTCTAAGCCGATTGGTTTATTTTATGGTAGGTATAGGTCCAATATTTTAGGGTGTTACAAACATCTGCGTAAGTGCATAATACCCTCCTAGTGTTGTAGGGTATATAAATCTATTAAAAGGATTAATCGTTATAAAATCCTTTCCAAGCTATGAATGACATAGTTGATTTAGAAATGGTGTAAAAAGTAAACATCTGACTTTTAGTCATTTATACAAAGTAATAGAAACTAAATTAGTCTAAGTTACTAAGTAAGAAAAAATCAAATGATATTAAGAAATGCAAAGTAATGACAACAAAATATCAGGAAATGTTGGCGCAATATCAGAGATTGTCATCATCGTCATGATCAACAACGCCATCTTGATCATCAAGGTAAATTGATAAGGTGCACTAACAGCAACAACAAAACCTTCCACCACTAGCCACCAACCATCCATCCATCCACCAAGCACATGTGAGTGAGATGATGGTATTTTTAAGGTATTTTTGTGTGTAAAGGTACGTTCACACCTATGAAATATTTGCATAAAATATTTTTTCACTTGTTTGTTGTAAAACATATGAAATAAAAACAGAGTTGGTTTTATGTTCACATTGTGACAAAATATTTGCCGTTTTTTGTTTCATGAAACAGCTGTCAAATAGCTAAAAATATAAACAGAAAAAACTTGTTTGCCGCCCGTTCAGATTGAACAAAATATTTGTGTGAAATAATTGTTTAGTGAAATAGTAAACAAACAGAAATTTATTTGTTTGAAATGAATAATGAAGATACTTTTCTTCTTTTATGCTGTGGTGTTGTATCAGTAATTCTTTTGGAAGGGAAAAAAGAAAAACAAGAAAGAGTATGGGTTCGTGAGTGGGTGCGAAGGCGAAAAGAGGAAGGGTGTTGCGCAAAGTTGTTGAAAGAGCTTCGCTTGGAAACTCCAACACTGTATCACAACTTTTTAAGAATGAAGGCAAAAGATTTTGATTATTTGGCAAGTTTCTATGTTGTAATATAAATTCCTAATTACCTTTTAATAGCTTCCTTAGTTAAATCTAGTTAAGCCTCTAATAACGAAGCAGACTACAAGATTCCGGGAACCCATTTCTGCCACCGAACGTTTAGCGGTTACTCTTCGTTACTTGGCAACAGGTGAGAGTTTTAGATCTCTCCAGTTTGTATTTCGGATACCGTTTAATACAATCTCGGTTATAGTTCCAGGAGTTTGTAATGCAATTTACAATGTACTTCAGCCGGAATATTTAAAGGTACCATTAACTGACGGTTATTTGGAATACACTAATTTCTTTAATTATCAAAATATAGACAACCATCAACCATCGAAGAATGGAAAGCTATATCTGAGGAGTTTTTGCATAAGTGGAATTTTCCCAATTGCATAGGAGCTTTAGACGGAAAGCACGTGGTTATGAAAGCACCAGCACATTCAGGAAGTATTTATTACAATTATAAAGGTAAAATGAATTCCTAAACAATAAAATATGACTTATTTAAATTCCTATCCGCTATTTTGTAAAGGCACACATAGCATAGTCCTAATGGGGATTTCGGATGCATCTTATAAATTCCTGTATATTGATGTTGGATCAAATGGTCGGATATCAGATGGTGGCGTTTTTCGCAAAAGTTCCTTCAATGAAGCTATGACCAATAATAAACTTAATTTGCCACCTTCTGAACCACTTCCATCTAGAAATATTCCGGTACCATATGTGCTTGTTGCTGATGATGCATTCGCTATCTCACCACACTTGTTAAAACCCTATAGCTTGCGAACATTAACGGCAACACAAAGAATTTATAATTATAGATTGTCAAGAGCGAGAAGGGTTATAGAAAATGCTTTCGGAATTCTATCTGCTCGTTTTAGAATATTACGAAGCGCAATAATGCTTGAACCCACGAAAGTACGCACAATAACTTGTGCTTGCTGTGCTCTGCACAATTTTTTGATGACCCAAAAAAAAAACCGTATATTTCAATCCGAAATTGGTTGACCACTATTCCGAGGATGGCACTCTAATCCCTGGTGAATGGCGGAATGACATCGACCAAAATTTACCAAACCTCCGACCACACCGCTCATATGTTAATCAAGAAACCTCAGTAATTCGAGAAGAATTCTCCCAATATTTTATTGAAGAGGGAGAAGTTCCGTTTCAATATAAACATATATAAAAATTCTACAGAAAGACTGTTGGTTTTTTATATAGCTAATTCAGTTATTAATATTACCACGATAATAAAGAAAATTTATAAAAAAAAAATATGATTTTCTTAATTTAAATTTCTAAATCGGTTATAAATTTCTACTTGTAAATAGTTTACAGAAAAAATCAAATAAATAATAATATTAAAACTATGATTCAGTCCAGTCTAGCCTATAACCAAGTCTAAAGTCTAGACTATAGACTACATTATAAACTAGTATATTCTATAGTCCAGCCTACAGACTATTCTAGCTTATAGTCTAGGCTATAGTCCAGTCTATAGTCTACAATATAGTCTAGTCTATAGTTTAGTTTATAAACTAGACTAGACAATAGTCTCGACTATATCAATACAAATCTATAGACTTGTCAATAATCTAGTCTATAGACTAGTCAATTGCCTAGATTATAGACTATAGTCAATAGTCTAGACTATAGACTAGACAATAGTCTAGACTATAGACTAGTCAATAGTGTAGACTGTAGGCTAGTCAATAGTGTAGACTGTAGGCTAATCAATAGTCTAGACTATAGACTAGACTAGTCAATTGCCTAGATTATAGACTACTAGCTATACCCAGTGTGCTTTGCTACCCTAAAAGCAATATATGTAAATAAAAAATCTTCTTAATAATTTTGAAGATTCTAACTGTAATGTTTTCCAGAGATACATTTGTTCCGAACGTAAATTAAGATTTTGATGTAATCGATGACAAATTAAAAAAAAATCTAATATTTTCCCAGATATACGAAATTTTTTATTTAATTCATATAGGAGGTGCCAAGACCCCATTGAAAGTCCGCCCGTTATTCTCTAAATGTTCACATTAATGTCAAAGATCTTCATGTAGAATTTGAAGATTCTAGCTCTAATAGTTTCTCAGATATACGAATTTTTCTATTTAATTCACATGGGAACTCACAGCCCCCAGATGAAAGTCCGCCCTTTTTTTCTCCAAAATGTTCATATGTATAATAAAGTTCTTCTTGCAATATTTGAAGAATCTTGTTCTATTAGTTTCCCAGATAAGCGAAATTTTGTATTTAATTCATATGTGAGGTGCCAAGCCCCCATTGAAAGTCCGCCCGTTATTCTCTGAATGTTCACATGAATGTAAAAGTTCTTCAATTAAAATTTGAAGATTCTAGCTCTAATAGTTTCTCAGATATAATAATTTTCCTATTTAATTTATATGGGGCCTCCAAGCCCCCCATGACGAAAGTCCGCTCTTTTTTCTCCAAAATGTTCAGATGAATACTTAAGTTCTTAGTGCAAAATTTGAAGAATTTAGTTCTATTAGTTTCCCAGATAAACCAATTTTTGTATTTTATTAATATGGGAGGTGCTGATCCCCTCATGGGTAGTCCGCCAATTTATTTCCCAAAATGTTTACATGGATGTTAAAGTTACTCGTGCAAATTTTTAATATTCTAACTATAATAGTTTCCAAGATAAACGAATTTTTGTATTAAATTTATATGGGAGGTGCCACGCCCCCTAATGCTAATCCGCCCACTTTTTGTCTTAAATAATTATATTGATACTAAAGTTGCTCCGACAAAATTTGAAGACTCTAACTATTATATTATCTCAGATATACTAATTTAATATTTTCTTAATATGGGCGTGGCACGTCGCCCACATGAAATTTCAACATAAAAAGTAGCCTATAGTTCCTTCCAGACATACAGGAAGAAACTGTGAAAATTTCAGGAAAATCGGTCCAGCCGTTTAGCAGTCTATAAAGCACAAACAAACAAACAAACTTACATACATACAAACACACTTTCATTTTTATATATATAGATAGTCAATAGTCTAGACTATAGACTAGTCCTATAGTGTAGACTATAGACTAGTCAATAGTCTAGTCAATAGTGTAGACTGTAGTCTAGTCAATAGTGTAGACTGTAGGCTAGTCAATAGTCTAGACTATAGACTAGTCAATGGTCTAGACTATAGACTATATATATATATATATATAAATCAATAGGACATACTAGAATGGATTATATTAAAGAATCATAAACAATTTTTAAGTTTATAATATAATAACAACAATGTTTGTTTCATATAAATACAATAACAAAAATATGTAAATTTAATAACAAAAATAAACGAAATATAAACATTAACTATAATACATTATTTAATTTTACTATTACTATTTTTTTCCTCATCCAGGCATTGAATAAAGAAAAGAGTAACCTTTTTCTCACAGTCGCAGCTTCTGTGCTATTTAAAGTTTTTAAACTCGCTTAGAATGTAATTAGCGAAAGACGTATTTGGGTCTGATGCATTTTCTTTACGCTCTTTCATTACATTAACCGCATCACGCATTGTTTCTGCAATTTGTGTTGCTGCCGATTGTTGATTTGAGGGTTGTGTGCGACGGGTAATTGTTGGGGTAGATAATGGTGGTGTTGACGTAGTGGGGGTGTCGCTATCAACTGGATATAAGTTACAAGTTTTTTGTTATTGAGGTACATATTTTTTTAAAATATACACTTACTATTATTATCGGTACCATGGGCAATATTTAAATTGGAAATTGTTGGTTGTGTTTGGTGATCCTCGGCTCGGCCTACGAAAGCCATAGCATTAAAATATTTCCATTTAGGCATTTCCATTGTGCCCTGTCCTGACTTTGTTTTAGAACGGGCGGCATACCCCCTATATTGAATTCGCAATTTGTCCATTTGGTGGTTACATCCACTACCGAATATGCGGGTTCAAAGTTATCGGCAATATTTAGCCAGCCAATGTCGCGAATGGCTTTATTGTGGTATCCATCCATTGAGGCGTTCCACAAACAGGGCTCAGCCTCTACCAATGAAATTAATTTAAAAATATAATTTTCTTCCCAATCTTTAAAAGATTTGGTTTTGTACGGGCTTTTTTTGGCTACTGGTTCTTTAACATCCATGTCTGCAAAATTTTGCATATTCTATGATTTTTAATTCAACATAAAGTAAATTTTAATGCCTTTGAAATTTATTTAAGTATGTATTTCTTTTTTGTTTTTATTTAATTTAATTTAACTGTGCACAATTTTTTTAATAAAAGTCAGCACAGCTGCTTGTTTACTTTATTTTAATGTGGTCAATGCTATTTAAATATTAAATCGCTAAAAACTGCAAGTGCTTTTACAATATTATATTATTGGTTGTATATATTTAAGGAATTCATCAAGCGTTCTAATTCAGCTGATTTTAAGAGATTTTTTCAATACCTGGTAGTCTTTTTTCTTCTGACTACAGAGATGAAAAAAAAAAATCTGCACCCTCTTAGGGGCCGGGAGTTATGGACCTCCAAAGTTTTGATATATAATTGGATAATTCTTGATTACTAATTAACCGATATGGTCGATATGGGTATCATTGGAAAGGTCTTTGAAAGAACTTTCCATTGATGTATAAAATGATATATATCATTAACCCATTGAGAGCCAGAGTCAAATTTTATGTTTTTTCTTTTGAATTTTTTTACAGATGTGCCGTTATCCTCATAAATTTATCGACATAACGGTACCTCATCTCACATGAAATTTGTAGACAACGTTTGGGGCTTTCCTATGATATATGTTGAAAGCTATAACCCATGAAATGCAAGAGTTATGTTAGTTTGAAAATTAATATTTTTAGAAAATTTAAATTTAAATCATATTTAAGCAAACATCAACATTACCAATATGTTCGATATGGGTATCATTGGAAATGCCTTTGAAATAGCTTTCCATTGATGTATAATATGTATCATTAACCCATTGAGAGCCAGGGTCAAATTTTTTTTTTTTTAATTTTGACTTTTTTAACAAAAAAAATATATAGATATAAAAATACCTCATCTCACATGAAATTTTGTAGACAATATTTTGACATTTCCTATGATATACATATGTTTGAGAGCTATAATCCATGAAATGCAAAAGTTTGCAAGTTAAACATTTTTGTCGTATGTAAGTGAAATATTTAGTTTATTTATTATTTATTATTTCTATAAAATTAGTTAGAAATGTATGTCTTTTATTAGTATTAGGTTATTTTAAAAATTAAAAAAAAATCGCTCAATTTTTTTAAAATAATTTTTCACTTTTTGGTGATATTGCTAGGATTTGTTATGACGCTTGATTTTTTAAAATAATGTTTCTCTTTTGGTAAAATTGGTGAATTTTCTAAAATATGGCTCGATTTTTTTAAAATAATTTTTCATTTTTTAAAAATAGTTAAAGTTTTTAAAGTTTCCCCTAGCTAAAAGTGTAAAATATACATGTGCTAAAAATGTAGAGTATGTATAAATATGAAAATTTAATGTGAGATGAGGTACGCTTATATCCATATATATTTGAGATAACGTTACTTTTGTAAAAAAGTCAAAAGAAAAAACATAAAATTTGAACTTGGCTCTCAATGGGTTAATGATATATGCCATACTATACATCAATTGAAAGGTATTTCAGAGACCTTTCCACTGACAGCCATATCGACCATATCGTTTAATCAGTAATCGAGATATATCCGATTATATATCAAAAACTTTGGAGGCCCGTACTCCCGGACCCTAATAGAGCGAAGAGTTTTTTGCCTTTGTTATGTTACTATTATGTGGTATGTTTTAAAATCATCTGAATTAGAACGCTAGATTTATACCAAATATATATATAAATATATATATATACATATATATATATATACTTTTTTAAAACATTAAAAAATAAATTTTTCAAATCCAATAATTATTATAGGAAAAATTTTCAGTTTTTATTTATTTACTAGACAACACTCATTTTTTAGCCCAAAATAACTCATAACAGCTGTTATTTAATGCTGTTTGTTCTTACATTTCACTTGCAAGACCAAACAATTATTTGCTGAAAATCGATGAAAATATTTTATGCATGGTGTTCACATTATGTTCACATTAATAACATATTTGATCACCGCCAAACAATTTTGTTTGTTACAAATCAGCTGTTTTTGTGTTAATAATCAAAATATTTGTTGTTCACATTAGTGCAAAGAAATATTTGTTAAAAATCGTCAAATATTTCATAAATGTGAACTTACCTTAAGTGTTTTTTTTTATAAAATTTTATTAAATTGTTTTTTTTTTTTTTTTTATTTAATGAAATTTCAGCTTATTTGTTCTATGATATGCATTGCGTCTTTAAGCGATAACGCAGAAATTTTTTTGTAGATTGCGTTTAATGGTGGGATATTCGGGTTTTTTGTCGTTGGTTGGTTGGTAGGTGCTGTTTATGCGTTTAAAAAAAAAATTGTTAAAAAAAATTAAAAAAAACTAATTCTCGACATTCTAAATGCCAACGCAAATAAAGAACAAACGACAAATTTTTTATGTGTGTGTGTATTTTTTTCTTCATCGATTTTAGATTTTTTTTTTTGTTTTTTGAAAATTTCAGTGTGTTTTCGGGTTGACATGACAGCATGTTGGAGGTAATGTTTTGCCACTGACAACAGACCCTACCGAAAATAAATTAACAAAAAAAAAAATATCTTTCTATATGATTTTATCATGAACAAAAAAATACTTGTCGTCTACCTCTGGCCACCACTTTATTTGTATATCTCCCTCCACTTTAACATGAAATATTGAAAAAAACACAAACAGACAGACGGACGGATACACAAAATCATCATTGAAAAATTTTTAAGAATTTTTTTCAACATAAATTATAATATTCATAATTTGTTTTATTTTCCTAAAGATTTCCCATTTCGTTAAAAAAAAAATTTTTAAGCAACTTGTTCAGGTTATTTGTTTTTCAACAAATTGTAATTTTTTGTTTCAAAATTTACCAGAAATTTATAAAAAAAATATATATTAATGACATTTTCTTTTGTTGTTGTGTTATTTTTCAATATCGAACTAAATATTTGACTTTTCAACAATTTATGAGATTTTGTAGAATATGTTCTTTATTTTCGAAAATTAGTTTTAAATTTCTTTAATATGTTTTTATGTTTAATATTTTTGTATCTTGTCTAAATTACATGCAATTTGCTAGTAAATGTAATTTTACATTAAATTTAAAATGATTTAAATAAATGGAACAGTTTTCTAAAAAAAATAAAGAATAATAAAAACCAAAATTCAACTGTAAAACTTATTTACATTTAATATTTATGATGTTTTTAAACAACATTTTAAATATTCCTTCCCTCCTAGGATCTATTTTTTAACCCACAAGCGATCAACAAAATAAAACAATTTTATTAAATTTTGTTTAAATTGCGTTTTAATAAAACAAACACAATTTTATTATGAACATCATTAGTCATTGATAAAAAATATATATGAATTTAATCTCTTATTAGAACTTGTTTCCTTCATAGTTTGTACTTTATGTTAAAAGTTAATTTCAATTTTTTTTTTCACAAACTCTATTGGGTCAATCAGTCTATTAAACGTAAAAAAATGTATGTTAAGTATCTCGATTTGCTCACTTCAGATTAGATTAGAATAGCACACAATTTTATAGCTGGACACATAAATAGTTTTTTATTCAGTAGTGAAGGTAATAAACAATTAATAATTTTTTTGTGAGAATATCTAAACCGACAAAGTAGTCAAAAAACTTAAAAATGTATAGGGAGCGTTTTTAAAAGATTCAATAAAAAAGTAATAAAACTAATAAAAAATTATTTGGATAAAACAAGTAAACAAAAATTACTAGCGTAGAAGGGCCGAGAAGGGCCTGAACACGGCCTTAAACAGGGCTGAATATTAACCCGGCGATGACTGAAATCTGCGTTTTCACCAGAAATAATAAATTCCTGAGTACATTGAACGCTACCTCCAGCGCAAGGATATATATAGATATAATCCGTGACCACAAATTTAATAGAGGATAGGATCAACAAGATGCACATTATGATTCTCAGTTCTAGTTCAGTTCTATTTCAGTTCTAGTTCAGCTCTAGTTTAGTTCTAGTTCATTTCTAGTTCAGTTCTAGTTCAGTTCTAGTTCAGTTCTAGTTCAGTTCTAGTTCAGTTCTAGTTCAGTTCTAGTTCAGTTCTAGTTCAGTTCTAGTTCAGTTCTAGTTCAGTTCTAGTTCAGTTCTAGTTCAGTTCTAGTTCAGTTCTAGTTCAGTTCTAGTTCAGTTCTAGTTCAGTTCTAGTTCAGTTCTAGTTCAGTTCTAGTTCAGTTCTAGTTCAGTTCTAGTTCAGTTCTAGTTCAGTTCTAGTTCAGTTCTAGTTCAGTTCTAGTTCAGTTCTAGTTCAGTTCTAGTTCAGTTCTAGTTCAGTTCTAGTTCAGTTCTAGTTCAGTTCTAGTTCAGTTCTAGTTCAGTTCTAGTTCAGTTCTAGTTCAGTTCTAGTTCAGTTCTAGTTCAGTTCTAGTTCAGTTCTAGTTCAGTTCTAGTTCAGTTCTAGTTCAGTTCTAGTTCAGTTCTAGTTCAGTTCTAGTTCAGTTCTAGTTCAGTTCTAGTTCAGTTCTAGTTCAGTTCTAGTTCAGTTCTAGTTCAGTTCTAGTTCAGTTCTAGTTCAGTTCTAGTTTCTAGTTTAGTTCAAGTTAAGTTCGAGTTCAGTTCTAGTTCAGTACTAGTTCAGTTCTAGTTCAGTTCTAGTTCAGTTCTAGTTCTGTTCTAGTTCTGTTCTAGTTCAGTTCTAGTTCAGTTCTAGTTCAGTTCTAGTTTAGTTCTAGTTCAGTTCTAGTTCAGTTCTA